CAAGGCGAAAGAAAAGGAAGAATCCTCTACACGAGAAGCTTTATTGGAATGACTTGTTTGGGTCGTTAAAGTCTTGTAGCGTGGAAACGGTGGTTGATATGCTTAAGACAAGGAAGGTTAAGGATAAGGATACTCGCCTCAAAATCGCGTCTTTAGCAATCACCGCTTCTATTCTAGTCCCAACCTCCCACTCTCCGAAAATTCTCCCTGATCACGTTGAGATGATAAGAGATCTTGATGAGTTCCTCGCTCTCCCTTGGGGAAGGACATCCTTCCAAAGTCTAGCCAATCATTTACTTCAAAAGGATGCAGTCTCACTTGCGCAAGACTCCTTTGCCCTGAAGGGATATGTTGAAGCCATTCAACTTGTTCTCATCGCCGCTGTTCCAGACTTGAAAGAAGAGGTGACTCAGTCTGCCCCTGTGGTTGTTGCTCTTTCCGAAAGCGAGGGTGAGATGGATGCTGAAGAGGAAGCACCGCATGTAGCTGAGGAAGGGGAGGCAGAAGACTTGTCTAAATCCCAAAAATTTGTTGTCAGGTTGCGCAATGCGAGAGAACTGAACACAGAGTGCCAGGTTAGTGTCCCAGAAATAAATTTAAACGGAAAAAGGAGTGATTTCAGATAAAACATTTGTTTACTGTTAATACGCTGATTACCATTGATTAATTATCGTTTCATATTACTGTATATATGCTCACCCATTTGTTAAGCATCAGCAAATAATCTTTGATTTGTATACTTAACGTCAAAATAAGTCGTGAATTGAAAATCCTTGCCTGAAAATATAGGAATTACCCGTAAATAATATTTTTACCTGGTATCGAGTATGTTTCCTGACAAACTCAATATTGCCTGCAAACATTAACCTTTGTTTTATTAATTTTGAGTAGGTGGCTGTTAGATCAATACTTAGCGACCCTGACGAGGAGTGGTATCTACAACATGACTTCTCCTGGCCCGACGAGGAAGATGATCCCACCGTCGATAATATGGTGAAGCTCATCAACGAAGGGTTCGAATTTGAAAACAAGATGTTCAAGGGAGGTATAACATCTACAGACCTTCAGAAGCTAAGGGGGCATAAACAAAAGGGTAAACAGCCAAAACACANACTTCTCCTGGCCCGACGAGGAAGATGATCCCACCGTCGATAATATGGTGAAGCTCATCAACGAAGGGTTCGAATTTGAAAACAAGATGTTCAAGGGAGGTATAACATCTACAGACCTTCAGAAGCTAAGGGGGCATAAACAAAAGGGTAAACAGCCAAAACACAAACAAGTTCCAGCAGATGTTGGTGATCAATCCGATGTTCCGCAACCGCGCCAAGTTGATGTTGATCCAATTGCCAACCTCGTCTCAGGGAAGATTCAGGAAGAACTTGCCTCAGTTGAGTCTCGCATAGCTAGGGCCGTCGACCTTAAATTACAGTCCCAAATGAAGGCTATGGAGACAAGACTAACCAAATGTGTTGTAGACAACATCCACGCGATGAAAAGGGGAGTTATAAAGGCTATTATAGATTACCTGAAGAAGACAACATCTTCAACGCCGAGCATTTCAGATGTGCCACAACAACATCACACAAACACAGCAAGCCCTTCTTTGAGTGGGCATGGTGAGGCGCCTGAAAAAGTAGTCCCTGAACAGATGGCGGTGGACGATCCTCAACCTCTTGTAAACCAGTCCATCAGGCGTATTTTAGATGACCTACAAGCATCATCACACAATCAAGAGGTTTGCTAATTGTTATCTTCATTTACTTAATTAACTGATACCCCTACGAACATACCAAACATTTTTTGTTATCAGGTGAATGTAGAAGGGAATGTCTCTCAGCAAGATAACACCACAAAAGCCCCTACAGAGCACGAGAGAACAGAGATTCTGAACACGGAGGTTTTCTGCTAAACCCTCTCATTACCGCTAATATATACTTTTCCTGTAATTTTGATATTTTGCTGCCTACACAAAATTATAGCTTCTTATTATTCTACAACCATGCCTGACGTAGGATGCTGGTAATAAATCTCCCTCCAACCAAGAAGCCGAATCAACATCGGGCAAGACAATCCCTGCTGTCACAACAAGTCCATCCATGGTATTACTTATCCCCAAGTTATAAATAACATTTAAACCAACCTAACCTTCTAATCTCAACTTTAATACAGGTTGATCCTTCTGAAAATGTCAATAATCAGACACTCAGCGACCCCACTTCTACGGATCTCACTGACGAAGAAGCCATCTCCGACAAGGTTTCCCGGAAAATATTTAGTTATCGTCTACTTAATTTTTTACCCGTAAAGAATAATGTTTACATATAACAATTTTGTTAGCCGTTATATGTTACCACTAGAATCCTTATCTTTCCAGGATTTGGAGCAATGGGCAATGACGCTGGCGACTGCTATGGGAAGAAGTACCTCAGCACAAATACAGGTAATGAATCATGTACTAATATTGATATCCTTTTCTCAAATATAATTGTATATGATCTTACATTGATTTTACATTGTCATAGGGGGAATCATCTCAGATGGATATTGATCCTCCATCTTTTTCTATTGGCCTCACCCAATTAGAGGAAACAGATGGTGTTCTTCAGCCTGCTCCACTTACTGTTGTGCTACCTCCCACTGGACAATCATCTAGCACAGTGGACACACAAAGAGCCCAAAGACAAACAATCCCCCCAACAGCGTTACAAGACTATGAGCTAGACCCCAAGAGTAAGCCTGGATTCCGCGTCCTTCCAGACCTTCACAAATTGTTCGACAAGATGAGGCAGCTTATTTCACCCACGGGGTTAGTGTACTTTTAATATTTACTGGCAATTTTATTTTTACCTGTCATCATTTTATTTAACCTAAAATAAAATGTTTTACCACGTTTAATTTGTTTTCCAGGTTCATTCACTTGGATGGTCCATCAGCTATCACTGGTGCCGAGTTTCTTGACATTGCTTTTAGGAAAACTAGAATGTCTCAACTGGTAACACACAAATCTTAAACTTCCTTCCACATATTAATTTATAGTCATATATACCAACATTATATTTCCGCAGACAGTGAACACTGTAATGCGCTTCCTCGCTGCTGAGCACGAAATTCCCGGCAAGTCTCTCAAAGTCTTCGACATGAGCCTCCCTACTGCTATAAAAAACATCTACCCAAGGTTCGTCAAGATGGGTGTGCAGTTGCGTCCGAAATTCAAGTTCACTGATGATGTGATTCAGCTTGTCCGAGATAACCCGGTAGACTATATCTACTTCCCTCTATATGTTCATCCGTTTCACTGGGTGGCTGTTGTTGTGGACATAAAAGCGTGGGATATACAAGTTCTTGATTGCAGCGTCACCTTGAAGACGGAGGCTATGATCAAGAAGGAGGTCAATCCATTTGCCAACATGCTTCCCTATATCATCAAAGCCTGGGATCCTGAATCGAGCGCTGATAACATCAAGCCATTCACCGTCAGTAGGCCTAAGGTACTTCCACAGGTAATTACTTTCAAACTCTCTTCGATCAATTTTCTATTTTACAGTAAACCTTATTTTTTCACGTTAAGAAAACTAATTCCGGTAATCCTTCTATATTCTGATTGATTTACAGACACCCTCGCTAACCGATGATGGGGTCCTCACTTGTCTTTACGTTGATGCACACTGCCAGAAGGGATTGGAAGCTTGCAAATTCCTAACCCAGCAGGTGCTCCCTGATGCGGCGAAGCAGCTATGTCTGAAGTTTTACCGTTACATTACCCAAAACAATCCTCTTAATCATCGCCAGCAACAATCATAATAGTCTTCTCCAACTTCTTTAAGACTACTTTCTTGTTTTTAAATATGTTGTTAAACATTTCCATTCGCTATTTAGACCTTCATACTTATTATGTTTTATTTGGATTGGTTTAATCTTTTTCGTTATTTATCACTCATATATTTAGTACACCACAGTTTTTACCCGTAAATTGTTATATTTTCCTTAACAAATATACTTTCAGGGAAACATAACTTATTCACAGATATAACTAATCAATCCATGATGTTCCACTCCACTTGCTCAATATATATTGACATCTCGTTTAGACACTCCACTAAATTGGGTCTTCATTTTCAAAAGTCACATAATATCATCTCTTCGTTTTCAGCAAAACAATACGATATTAGCGACTAAAGATCATTTTACCGGTTACCCAACTTCATTACTGATACAAGTAGTTCAGGTTCCGGATATTACATTAGAGGGCAACATTTTTCTCCTCCCTTATCGATCTACACATATTTTGTCAACAAGGGAGGGCTTTGGGGAACATATTTAACATACTACATAGCAAAATAAAAGGTCGCCCCAAATCAGACCTACAAAAGACCATCCTACCATCCGTTGCTCCTCTTCCTAACGATCACTTGCCTACTCATATTGGCATTTTACAAGTGGCGCGATTATGATCCACCCCACCACATCTTGTGCAAGTCCTCTTCCTCTTGGAACGACCTGATTGCTGGAAATAATAATCTTCCCTGTTAATAACTATAATTACCGGTAAAAATAATTTTTGGTAATGTTCCTTACCCTTATTTCTCCTGCAGATAGTATCCTGCTCTTCCTCGGCCTTCCTGGAGGCCTGCGTGTGTTTGGCGGGAGCAGTTTGAAGGAGTCGGATCCCCCTATGTCGAGGTGGTTAATGCTCACCGGGTTTATCCCACCTTCATACGCCTTCTTCCAGTAAACGCTGCTGTACTCGACAGCCAGTAAGTCCTCCACCTTATGAGCTCTGTTTAGCGCAGCACCAAGTGCGTGGACACAAGGGAGTCGGAGCTTATCAAATTCCTTGCATGAGCAGCTCTTCCTCTTCAGATCAACACGGTAAAACATCCCCAAGCTATCGCGAACTTCATACTCCTCTTCAATGATATGACGGACATTGAATCCCGTTGAGAACTGGAAATTACGCGCCAAGATTGCGGTAACCTTAGGTGTTACCTCGTTTGTGTTTGCGTTTGCGGCGTCACGCCTGGTAGAGAACCAACCCATCATCATGGTCCTGATGTATTCCAAAAGCGCAACAATCGGGTATCCTCGTGCTTCCGCCAAAGCTGCATTGAGTGACTCGGCTAAGTTACTCGTCATGATGTTGTACCTTTCTCCCTCGAAGTGAGCCCGCGCCCAGTGCTCAAGACCGACGCGAATAAGATAGTCTGCGCATGCAATGTCCATCTTCTTGATTTCATTGAAGTGGACATAGAAGTCCTCTATCTTATACGCCCTAGCAGCTTTTCCTATCAGGTAAATCAGGTGTTTCTTTTTGAAAATTGTCTGAACGTTCCGCTGAAGATGCAGAATACAGGCGCAGTGATGAGCCATTGGGTAAACCTATATCAAAGACAAAAAAAAATGCAGTAAAATATTGGGTTTTCCGTCAAAATTTAAAATATCGGGAAACAATCTAATTAACAGGGAAAAATAAAGATTTGTTGTCTAACCCGTCTTATCCCGGCGTATATTGAATTGTGACGATCAGAGACAAATACTAGTTCTTCAGAGTCCGGAACTACAGCTGATAGTTGTCTGAAAAACCATGTCCAAGCCTCATCATTTTCGCTATCCACTATTCCAAACCCGATGGGGTAAATGTGGTAGTTCCCGTCTTGCGCACTAGCAGTCAGCAGACATCCAGCATACTTCCCCTTTATGTGTGTCCCATCAATAATCACTACCTTCCTCATGAAAGGGTACCCTTCAATGCTTGCGCCAAAGGCGAAGAAGAGGTACTTGAACCTCTGCGCACCTTCTGCCGCTATCGTTGTCTCCAACGCCACCACAGTTCCTGGGTTAGTTGTCTGCAACATTAGCAGATACGATGGTAGGCTTTGGTATGACGCCACCGCGTCANCTAATAGCTCCTGGTCTTGGTCCAACACCAGCTGCAGGACCATACCTATGCTTAACCATATCTCCAACAAACTTGGAGTTCGCATGATGTCTGAACTCCCACCTATCAGCCACCGAGCACGTGTGGATGTTATCTAAAGTCCTCACTTCGAAGCTTGCAGATCCTCCCATCTTCGCCGCATACACTCTCCATCCACACGTGGCTCCCCTACAGTGTAGTACCATTTTGCCTGGCTCTGACTTCTTGATGAGGAACCTAAACTTGTTTGTGATTGCATGTAGGGTCATATGGATCTTGAAGGCTTCCCTGCTCTCAAATATCTTCCCCACAAAAAGCTCTCCTTTTGGCTCATCTGCCACACGTCCTGATAATCACAAACAAAATCGTATTAATCGCACAATACTATATGATGGGTAAACTTTTCAATTTCAGTAAATATTTTAGTTTTCCGGTACTTCATAGTTTTACAGTAAACTAAATACGTTCCATGTCTTATTGTTAGAATGTATCATTTTATCCTCCACTATTAAAATTAGTTTTATACCTCCGACTTCAATACCACAAAAAGGCAGCCTGGTAGTATCCTTTCCTTTAATGACCTTCCCATAACATTTGCTACCCCCCGCCTCGTCAAACTCTTGGCTCAAGTTTCGCATCCACGCCAATGAAACGTCATCCTCAGCATCAGGCTCGTCAACTCCCAGTGCTAGGGACAGCTGTGTCGCTGAGCCAGTACCTGATAATGCTTATGTTATCCCCTAACTTTTGCCTTAACTGTTAACTAATTATTTAACATAAAATATGTTTTAAAACATTAAGATAATTACTCATGTTTGACGCACTCCCTCCAGTCATCAGTTGCTCTCCAAATTGGAAATTTGAAGAAGCTCCAATTTGAAATGGTCTCTCAACCGACTCATCACTCATCATTACTCCCTTACCCTTGTCCCGTATTATCTCCTCCACTTCATTACCTTCTGCCCCTATTAATTAGTGGTCACACCTTCCGATTACATAAAACTATCTCCTTCACGTATAATTTGAGTTTTTCCTCTAAAAAATAGTATTACCTAACGCGAAGTGGATTTCCTCAGTTTGAACTTCCGCGTTGGTTACCTCTGCTTCTCTTATAGCAGCCCCTGTTATTATTGCCCCCGCCTGGTTAAGAGGGATGCCAGAAGAACCCTCTGACGATTCTAGGTTCACTGTCATCGTCGGGTCAAGCTGAAGATCATTTGGTCCACACCCAAGGGCGGTTTGCTCCAGTATGCTCATTTCATCAGCCGTGCATATTCCCCTTAATATTTCCCCGTACACAACCATGTACCCTCTCGCAGTAAGATCTGCAAACATAAACCACAATAAGTTTCTCAATTAGTACATGTCCACCCTAGTTTTCCCACTGACATCACCCAGTAAATAATTTATTTGCCCGACAACTGCGTGGTTAACTGATAAATTACTATTTTACTGGAAAGACTACTTTACGATATACCTTCTTTTCCGATACAAAAAGCGTTTACAGTAAAATATTTATTTCGCGGGAAAAGGTTATTTTACCTTCGATACTCACTAACCCGCGCATCGGTGTTAGTTGTTCTGAAGCTGTCATTCCATCTTCCACCTCCCTCTGCCTCCGGTAGTTGTAGACATCCTCTCCACCCAATGTGACATACAGCTCCTGCCACACATTGTCAACCCTAACAGCCATGAACACAGCCACGTCTTCGTCCTCATTTATTTCGATGGGTGGTGCTGAGTATTCCTCAGGCTCTTTTTCAAGGTCTGGGTAGTGGTAAGTCANGCTGTCATTCCATCTTCCACCTCCCTCTGCCTCCGGTAGTTGTAGACATCCTCTCCACCCAATGTGACATACAGCTCCTGCCACACATTGTCAACCCTAACAGCCATGAACACAGCCACGTCTTCGTCCTCATTTATTTCGATGGGTGGTGCTGAGTATTCCTCAGGCTCTTTTTCAAGGTCTGGGTAGTGGTAAGTCAGCAACACAGGGGCGTTGACTCCATACAGTGGGTCGACGTTGAACTTTTCCCTCACCATACCAACAAGTGAGATGTAACTCTCGTTCTCCTTAAGCTCGACGTCAGCTACTATCATTGTTTTATCAACGTTGAACCTCCATGCGCCTTGAGCGCCTCGTTCCCAGTCCCCAACAACGACACGAACTTGGTGCCTCATCTTCCAAACCTGTTACGGTGTAACATTACAATTATCAGTAACTAAAAACTTTTAAGGATATAGAACAACCTTCCCTTGGTGGGATATATAGACAAAGCTTACAACTTACACTACGAGAAAAAACGATTTCTGTCTCTTGAGTTATCTTCTACAAACACCAAATCACAGCTTTCGTTCTCCCTCTTTCTCCCACAGTTTTTTTGGGTTCTGAAAACTAAAGTGTTACCCAACTCAACCTTCTTTTATCTTCAAATTAGTATGGTATTACGTACACTTAACTTTTCCAAGGTAGCTTAGGATGTTGTGCTTAAACATAAATCACGGATAACCGAGGAAACGTGTTTTAATTGCACACAAGTCGTCCTAGGTTTCAGAGTAGGGTAGGCAGCTATTAGAATCGGCGTGGATATCTTGTGTCAGTCGACTGACACAAGCGCCGAAGATCAAATCTTCCGTGCGAGGTTAGTTCCGTCTTTTTGCCATGGTTAGGGTATGTCTCGGGCCCTAAATGTCAATCAATGGGTACTTCGCCAATTTGGGCCTCTATTTGGGGCAATACACTAAATCACTCTAATAAATAACAATAAAGGATTATATATGTAGCCCAGTTCACAAACTTCTTAAGTGGGTAGATCATGTCCACCTTATACTTTTGGTGTGACGTATATATATCTAAATATAAACTTTAATTATCTAGGTTGCTTTA